CCTTGAAAGACACTGAGAAGAAACAAAACAGTGATGCATCCACTACCCTCAAGGCAATTCACTCGGTTTTTTACAACTGCCTGTGGAACCCAGCCCATCTTTCTTGAAAGTTACTTGTTGGTGAATGCTTCTTTGTATCAAAGTGAAAGCTACCTGTGAAATACTCTGCCCCTAGTTTCAGCTACTATACCTACCTAGAACAAATCTAAGATTTAAAATTATTTTATATATACATACATATTATATATCATATCTCTTTAAAGGCTAGAAAAATTCATCCCAATATAACAGCTAAAATTTAACTGAATAACTAATGTGTGCTGAGAGGAGTACCCAGAGAGGCAGGGTAATTTTTCCAAAGCTACACCAAAGCCCATGTTCTTTCTATGCTGTGCCATGCCCTCTATTTCCCTAAATTTTCTAATCTTCAAACTGGACAGCCTCCTAATTCCCTACCTCTAGTCTTGCTCTTCCTTCATTCAGTCTCTGGAGGGCTGCCAGAGTAATCTTTCTAGAACCCCAATCTGATCATGTGATTCCTACTGCATGAAACCTTTCAATGGGTTTCCAGCACACTTAGGATAAACAAGCTCCTTAATGTGGTTTGCAAGGCCTTTGTGATTTGGTCCCTTCTCATTCCCCTGTTTCATCTCCCACAGCCCCCCTGAATCTCACCCCCACTTCTCCAACCCACATTCTAACATCCAGTTATATGAACTATCAATTCCTAGAACATGACATTCTCTCTTTGGGTTGAAAACCTTTGTAAATGTTGTTCCCTGCTCCCTCGGCCTTTGCCCAGCTATGCTCTTATCCTTTAGGCTTCTGCATAGAAGTCACTTCCTCCATGAAGCCTTCTTTGACCACTAAGTTTAGGCTTGTTGCCCCTTTTATGCATTTCTATAGTACCCTAACTACCTTAAAACTCTTCAAGTCTTATGCAAATGTCTGGATCCCTGTCACTAACATAAAAATATCAGGCTAAGCAAACAGCACCAAGTACAATGGAAGAACACCTGTGCCTGAGAGTTATAACTATTACCTGGATAAAATAAGGGAGATTTCTTTGCCCTTTAAAGAAAAAAAATTACATTTTGAGGACTTCCGCCAAGATGGAGGGACAGGTGGAAACACTTTCCCTCCTCGCACAACCAAATCTAAAAACAACAAAGTTTTAACAACAATAAATGTAGCCAAACCACAGAAAAATCAAACAATACGGAGTCTGACAACAACAAACCCCTCAGCTAAACCAGTGAGAGGGGCGGAGCCAGCAGCAGAGCAGGTTGGGCAAAAAAGATGCCACTACCCAGGCGCACGGGCAGCCGAGGGTGAGGATCCCAGGTGTGGGTAGCTACAGGCGGACCCAGGGAAGGTGCTGGGCGGCTGGCTGACTGAAGTTGCGCATTTGCGTGCAGATAAACCAGCAAAGAGGCAAGCATTGAGACAGACCTCCCAGGCCCTGGCCCAGGGTGGCTGGCTGACTGCAGTCACACATTTGCGTGCAGATAAACAGGCGGGGGGAGGGGAGAGTGGTGAGGGAGTAGAGAGGATCACCACTGCATCCTCTCTGACCCCGCCCCCACATATAGCATCACACACAGCGACCTGGGTGCCCCTGCCCTGGTGAACATTTAAGACACCTCTCCTCATATGTAACAGGCAGGAACAGATCAAAACATGGCTCAAGAAGAACTCAGAGCCCCAGGGCCGATAAATCTAAGCGATCAAGAAATTGCCAACCTATCAGAGGCACAGTTCAAAACACTGGTCATCAGGATGCTCAAAGAACTGACTCATTTTAGTCACAAATTAGAGGAACATATGAAGGCTAAACTAATTTAAATTAAGGGAATTGCACAGAAAACCAATAGTGATGAAGAGGAAACTGGGACTCAAATCAAGGGACTGAACCAGAAGGAAGGAAAAAATGACTAAACAGAAAAATATGAAGAAACAAGAATTCAAAAAAATGAGGAGAGGCTTAGGAACCTCCAGGACATCTTCAAACGCTCCAACATCCAAATTATAGGGGTACCAGAAGGGGGAAAGGAACAGCTACCAGTGGAAAACTTATTTGAACAAATAATAAAGGAGAATTTCCCTAATCTGGCAAAGGCAATGGACTTCCAGGAAATCCAGGAAGCTCAGAGAGTCCCAAAGAACCTGGACCCAAGAAGGTACACACCAAGGCACATCATCATTACATTAGCCAAGATTAAAATGAAGGAGAGAATCCTATAAGCAGCAAGAGAGAAGGGGACAGTCACCTACAAAGGAGTCTGATGGGAATCAGACTGTCAGCGGATTTCTCCAAAGAGACCTTACAGGCAAGAAGGGGCTGGAAAGAAGTATTCCAAGTCATGAAATCCAAAGACCTACAACCAAGATTGCTCTATCCAGCTAAGCTTTCATTTAGAATGGAGGGATAGATAAAGTGCTTCTCAGATAAGATCAAGTTCAAGGAGTTCATCATCGCCAAGCCCTTATTATATGAAATGTTAAAGGGACTTATCTAAGAAAAAGAAGATAAAAAAGATGAACAGTGAAAGGACAGCAAACTCACAATTATTAACAACCACACCTAAAACAAAAGCAAACTAAGAGGACAGCTAGATCAGGAGTGAACAATAGAAATGAAGATCTCATGGAGGGTTAGCAACAGGGGAGTGGGAGAAGGAGAAGGGGGGGAGAAGGTACAGAAAATAAGTAGCATAGACCATAGATAGAAAACAGACTTCCGCCAAGATGGAGGCATAGGCGGATGTGCTGTGCCTTCTCACACAACCAAGATTAGAGAAAACTAAATATTAGCAACAGAAAACACAGCCAGAACACGGAAAATTGAACTTTTCGGAAGTCCGTTAACAACAAATTCTTCAGCCTCACCGGTAAGGGGCGAAACCAGCAGCTGGCGGAGCAGGGTTGCACAGGAAAACTCGGTCAGACTCGCGGAATCCAGGTGCAGAGTTGAACCTAGTGAGCGACCAAGCGAGCGACCAGGCGAGCGACCGCGGGGGAGACAGCGGGGCAGCGGGGCTGCGTGTTGACTGAGGTCGCGCATTTGTGCGCGGGTGGACAGGCAAGGGAGTGGGCGATTGGACCTGGCCGGCAGGTCCCCACGGCAAGCGGCAGTGGAGGGCGCCGCCATTTCCCTGCTCTGACCCCACCTCCACATACAGCGTCATAACCCAGCGACTCTGAGTGGCCCGGCCCAGGTGAACCACCTAAGGCACTGCTCCTCCGCACCCAGCTGTGAGAAACAGCAGAGGGGGCCGCCATTTCCCCGCTCTGGCCACGCCCCCACATACAGTCACAGCCCAGCGACCTGGGAATCCAAGGCGCCCCTTCTCACACTTAAAGGGCCGAACAGACCAAGAATGGCACAGGAGGATCTCAGAGCCCCAGAGCCAATAGATCTAAGCGATGAAGAAATAGCAAAACTCACAGACGCACAGTTTAAAACATTGGTGATCAGGATCCTCACAGAACTGGTTGATTATACCGACAAATTAGACAAATATATGAAGGCGAAACTAATTGAAATGAATGGAATTGCACAGGACACCAATAGCAATGAAAAGGAAACTGGGACTCAAATCAATGGAGTGGACCAGAAGAAAGCAAATAATGGCCAAACAGAAAAGAGTCAAGAAGCAAGAATTCAAAGAAATGAGGAGAGTCTTAGGAACCTCCAGGACATCTTTAAACGCTCCAACATCCGAATTATAGGGGTACCAGAAGGGGGAAAGGAACAGCCACCAATGGAAAACTTATTTGAACAAATAATAAAGGAAAATTTCCCCAATCTGGCAAAGGAAATAGACTTCCAGGAAATCCAGGAAGCTCAGAGAGTCCCAAAGAAGTTGGACCCAAGAAGGAACACACCAAGGCACATCATAATTACATTAGCCAAAATTAAAATGAAGGAGAGAATCCTAGAAGCAGCAAGAGCTAAGGGGACAGTCACCTATAAAGGAGTCCCCATCAGACTGTCAGCTGATTTCTCAAAAGAGACCTTACAGGCAAGAAGGGGCTGGAAAGAGCTATTCCAAGTCATGAAATCTAAAGACCTACATCCAAGATTGCTCTGTCCAGCAAAACTTTCATTTAGAATGGAAGGACAGATAAAGTGCTTCTCAGATAAGATCAAATTCAAGGAGTTCATCATCACCAAGCCCTTATTATATGAAATGTTAAAGGGACTTATCTAAGAAAAAGAAGTTAAAGAAACATGAACAGTGAAAGGACAACAAACTCACAGTTATTAACAACCACACCTAAAACGAAAGCAAACTAAAAGGACAGCTAGATCAAGAGTGGAAACATAGAAATGAAGATCTCAAGGAGGGTTAGCAACAGGGGAGTGGGAGGAGGAGAAGGGGGGAGAAGGTACAGAAAATAAGTAGCATAGACAGTAGATAGAAAATAGATGGGGGGGGGGGCAAGAATAGCATGGGAAATATAGAATCTAAAGGACTTGAGACACATGGTCATAAACTAAAGGGGGGTAATGGTGGGGATGAGGGGTAGGGTGGAGGGGAATAAAGGGGGAATAGAACAACTGTAACAGCATAATCAATAAAAAAAATAAAAAAATAAAAAAAAAAAGAAAACAGGGGAGAGGGTAAAAATATTAGGGGAAATATAGAATCTAAAGAAGTTGAGACACGTGGTCATGAACTAAAGGGGGGGATGGTGGGGGAGGGGTGTTCAGGGTGGAGGGGAATGAAGGGGGGAAATAGAACAAATGTAATGGGATAATCAATGAAATAAAAAAATATTTAAAGAAAAAAATTACATTTTATATAGACATATTTCAAAGACTTCCAAAACTGACCTAAAACTATTAAGCAATCTTTTTGAAGGGAACTCTGGACATTATCATTTTAACTACTTAAATTCTTATTTACTTTTATTATCAACTCTACCGTACATGCCAGAGGAAAGAAAATGGCAATAAATAAAATACGCTTTCTGAAAACGGCATGCTCACTCACCCGAGACCCCACAGTGAGAATGATCATACAGATGACGCTGCTGAAGGGTTGACTTTTTGTAAATAACATGGGGATGGCCATTTTCATAACTAAAATGTTTGGAATCCTCTGTGGTATTCTTTAATGGTTCAATAAAATATTCTTCATCTTCTGTAGCAATAACACCATGCTAAAAGAAAAAGAAACAAAAAATTGGCCAAGAAGAATCATTTGAATATTATCATTATCAAAAGGCAAAAATAAATCAATACCTCTCCAAAAAGGTTAAAACACATGTTAATAAAAAATGTATTAAGCTGTCGTACTCAGCAAAACACTATATAAATTTTTCTTTTCTTTGAAAAGGATGTTTAAATACCCCAATGTGCTATGCCCAATACCGAGCACGACAGGTACATCACTTCCTCTGATCTTCCTGACAACTCTCTGAGGCAGCAGAAACCTCGATCAGGGGTGTCCAACCTTTTAAAGGCATCTCTGCGCTACCCTGGAAGAAGAGTGGTCTTGGGCCACATGTTAAACACATTACGACACATAATCACAAAAAAGTCTCATGTTTTAAGTGAATGTATGATTGTGTGCTGGGCCGCATTCCCAGCCATCCTGGGCTGCATGCAGCCTGTGGGCCGCAGGTTGGACACCCCTGTAGGTGTCCACTAAGAAGTATTTCCTTTCCACATTGTGCACACTTAACTGCTTCCTCTGTGTCTAGGTTTGACTTTGTAATTGAATTTCAGTGGACAGTGAAAATGGATAGTGCTGTCTATCCCCTTCAGACCCAGCCCCTGAAAACCTCCCAGTAGAATTCTCTACTCTCTCTGAAAAAACACCTAGGGAAGGTAGAAACCCAAAGCAAAAGAGTCTGGGTCCCTGAACGACCTCAAGGAAAGCTATTCAACGTAGCTGGTAATATAAGGGAGATATGTAGCTTTGATTGTGATAACTGACATTTTAATGTTTATGTTATACCAATTAATATGTCCTTAATTAGCCCTGGCTGGTGTGGCTCAGTGGATTAAGTGCCAGCCTGTGAACCACAGGGTCACCTGTTCCATTCCCAGTCAAAGATCATGCCTGGGTTGTAGGCCAGGTTCCCAGAGGGGGGCGCACAAGAGGTAACCACACATTGATGTTTCTCTCCCTGTTTCTCCCTCCCTTTCCCTCTGTCTAGAAATAAATATATAAAATCTTTTTAAAAAATATGTCCTTAATTACTATCCCTGCCATAGAGATCCCTATTCTTGCTGATGAAGTAACATGCTCAGGGGTTAAGAACTTGCTCAGTACTATGCAGAAATAAGTGAAGGAGCTGGGATTCACATAAAACTCTGCTCTTATTCACAGTATGCATTGCCTTACACCTATTTATTTAGCCAAGTCTTACTCGGTTCAGTAATATTTTCTCTTTAAATCTTTCTCTAGCCCAACTGGAGTAGCTTCACATGCCCTGAGCTCCAACAGAGCTATTATTTATTTTTTATTAATTTATTTTAATTAATTCCACACTGCATTGCAACATCTCAACTCTTGAAGCTATATTTAAATTTTGTATAACTTCTCCACTGCATGTTTTTTTATTCCCAAGTATACTAGTTGCTTTCTTAAGGTAAAGGGTTCTGTTTTATAATTCTTTGTATCAGTTACAGCCATTGAAACTGTCCTATATGTACTATGTACACCATGCTGAGTAAAAGAAATGAGATATGCCCTGACTGGCATGGCTCAGTGGGTTGGGTGTCACTCCGCAGAGCAAAAGGTCACCGGTTCGATTCCAGTCAGGGCACATGTCTGGGTTCTGGGTCAGCTCCCTGGTTGGGGGTGTGCAGAGGCAACCAATCAATGTGTTTCTCTCACACATCGATGGATGTTTTTCTCTTTCCCCCTCCCTTCCTCTCTCTCTAAAAATAAGTAAATAAAAGCTTTAAAAAATAAAGAAATGAGGTAGTAACAGTTATCTGCATCAGAAATAAGAACTACCATCCTTGTCTACTCATGTTTTCCTAAGTGCGGCACACGTGAGAACCGCTCCTAATCCAACTAATTCACCCTGGGGCGCTGGGCAAAACACAAATGCTCCGGGTCTATTTCCTCGGCTGGAAAAATGAAAGGGTTGGTATAAATTAGTGGTTTGAAAACAGCACTCCGGGGAGCCCTAAGGGTTCCAGGGAAGTGCCCTCAGGGGACTGCCCCAGACAACAAAGGGAGACCTACATGGCTTGGATTCCTGGGCTTAAGAATCAGCTGTGCCTTTATTAATCTATATATTAAGTTTCCACATAACATTGCATTTGAGAAAAGATTTTGCTGCTTTAAAAAGAAAAAGGCTGAAAGCCTCTTGTGCAGATAATCTCTAAGGTCCCTTTGAATCTAAACTTCTGTGATTGTGTTTAGGGAAATTGATGTTGTATATCATACAGGGAAAGAAAGATAAGACATAATCAGAGCTGCCCTAACTCACTCAAGTTGGCAGCTACCTGCATGAAATAAACTAAGGATTACCAAAAAAAGTCCTAAATCATTTTGTATTATCTCCATCATTGTTTGCTTTACTGTTAAGATATTAATCTTAAATTAAATGCAAATACTGACAGAAACATCATGACCTGTCATTAAAAACTCTAACACCTGAGCATGAATTACTTTACTCAGAAGGTTAACAATGGTATAGTAAACTGGACCCTGCTCCTGCAGGGAAGAGGGTATGTATAAGAAGTGTTGGCAGGCGAGGCAGGAAGAGCACCGAAGTCATGCCATGCTGGACCGTGGGCAAGTCACTCAAGACATGAAACTCAGCTTGCTGGGTAAAATACAGTCACAAGCCTTGTCTAACTAAACACAAACTCTAATTTCTAGAATGGAAAGACTCTGGACTTTAGATGTTAGGTATTCTGTAAGATGATCACACACATTATCTCATGTCATCTCAATAGCTCTTTGAAGTAAGTGCCACTATCAGCTTTTCTGAGCTGATGAGAAACTAAAATTGAGCAAAGCTCAGTAACAGACTCACTTGATTAACTTTGGAGCCTGGACTCTGAGCTACTATACTGTAACTCCCTCATCCTCTGAGGGCTGTTTCTGACTTTAATCATTCGTTCACCAAGTAGGCTTTGAATGCTTATCACACGGCAGGTACTGTTCTAAAAGGTAGGGGTACAATAACGAACAAAACAAAGTTTTGGCTCTATCATGGAGCTTACATTCTGATGGGAGGAGCTAGCAGAAAACAATTCATTCAATAGATAAATGACCGATCAGGTAGTGACCATTGTTAAGATGAAAAATAAAACGGTGTAAGAGAATATAGTAATTACAAGTAAGGGAATTCTACATACTCTTTAGGATGATCAGGGACATCCTGTCTAATAAGGTGACATTTGAACAGAAATGTAAGCAAAGTGATCAGGATTTTAGTTTAGCCAAATGAATTCCATGAAGGGAAAAAAGAGCAAGGGGATTGCAGGTGGAATGGAAGCTGATTTGGGAGGAAACAAAGGACATGAATTGGGTGGACAATGAAAAGATCAGTGGGTTCTGTTGGGCATCAAAGGACTGTACTTGGAGTTGAGACACTAGAAGGACAGTGCTGGAAAGAGAGAAGAATGGAGTACTTGAAACTGAGACGATGGAAAGGAACAAGCCAATCGGGCATCTCAAGAAAAAGCAGATCAGTGTGAATGGCATTGCCTTTGCATGGCAGTAGGGTAGGAACATGTGTGCAGTATTGGAGAAACAGCAAGAAACTACTGTGGCTACAGGGAGGGAAGGGGAAGCAATTATGAAATCAGAAAGGGGCTGGGGCCAGAGGACGGAGGAGCTGAGTTAGGAGGGACTGCCAGACATTTGTGCATGCCTAGCGAGAACCCTGCTCTCACTCCCCTCAGGCCCCCTTCGCCTCTGCATTGCCAGCCTCGGGACCACCAGAATTAATCCCATCACGCCCCCTTTCCCTGACATACCAGTCCTTTCAAGAAGACCAAGACCCTGGATTGTCTTCCCCATATGACTACAGACATCATGTTTTCTGATCCTATCTACTACGGCCCCCTTTCACCACTAAAAACACTTCTACCATGACCTCTCAAACTCAAGGTCAGTTGTCAACAAAATTTCTTATACCCTCAGCCTCACCTATGACTGTTCACTTCATCTGGCTCCAACAAAAACCTGAATTTCCTTCAGTGACACTCTTCCCTGTAATCCTCTAGAATGGTGGGTGCCTTCTCTCCTACAGGCATCTGATTGCACTCGCAAGTAGGGTCTATGTCCTTGTGACTCACTGCCACTTCCAATCAATTCTCCCTCTCCTCCAAAAAAAACCCAAACAAACAAACAAAACCCACCAGCTTTGAATCTCAAGCCATCACCTTCTCCCTCTTCTAGGTGCAGTTATCTACTGACCCAGGGTCGCTTTCCTCATCCCTGAAACTCTAGCTTCTGGGTCACTGTCACTCTCTGCAATACCAATCCTGAAATAATTATTGACTCCAATATCTTCTTACATCATTGGTTCACACCATTTGTGTGTGTGTGTGAATGCACAAGTGCCCTGAGTCCCTTGGGAAGTCTAGGAATGAAGCCCAGGAATCACCTTTCAGAATATTTTAACTACAGGGAAAAAGGATTATAAATTAAACCAATTGCAGTGAAATATAGGCATCAAAATATTTTTAAATGTAATACACATGACATTTATAACACTTTCAATAAGATCTGCAATGAACCTAATCATTAACACAATTTCAGCCCTGGCTGGCGTAGCTCAGTGGATTGACTGCAATCTTGCACACCAGAGGATCGCAGTTCAATTCCCAGTCAGGGCACATGCCTGGGTTGCAGGCCAGTTCCCAGCAGGGGACACATGAGAAGCAACCATACATCAATATTTCTCTCCCTTTCTCCTTCTCTTCTCCTCTAAAAATAAATAAATAAAATCTAAAAAAAAATTAAAAACATAATCTCACAATAGTGATTTACATATTAATATTTTGAAGAACCTATAAAAACTGTAAAATGGTATGAAAATATCTATAATTTCTACTGGGGACAAAGTCACAGGAACTGTTATTACTTTTGTGGTTTGATAGCTATGTATATAATAAAAGAAAATGTTAGATTCAGCTAAGAATTCATAAAAATAAAGATGTATTTTCCCCCATTCCAGTTCAC